TTGTCGACACCACCACTTCCCTCCCCCCCATCCTCATCCTCATCCTCTCGATCCGTTCTTATTAGATCATTCTCCTAAAGTGCAACCAACGTGCAGCGTGTCGGTGATCACTCTCTAAAACGTGTTGGTCGTGTTACAAAAGGGGAAATATTTGGTGGAAGGTGATATTTTCTATTTATGTTCTTGATTTTATTGTTATTTATAGGCCTTTGTAAAGAAAAAAAAATAGTACCGAGAAAAACAACTCCTCCCCGGTGGGTTGCACCATTCAGTCCTGCCCGCTGCTGACAGACTGGAATATTCCACAGTGAGGATTGACCTCTCTTCTTCCTGCAGGACAGGTGTCTCTCTCTCCCTCTCTTTCTCTCTCTCTCTCTCTCTCCCTCTCTTTCTCTGAATGCCTCCATATTTTTCCACAAATGCTCTTCATTTATTGATTCAAAAAGTGGCTTTTGCATGATTGGATATTTTGTACATTCAGAGGACTAAATCTAAAAACCCTCCATTTCTACCACTTTCACCCTGTGAGTCAAACAAGCACTTTTTAATGTACTATTCAGTCTTAGAACGCAGGGATTGGATGTGATCTATGACTGTTGTGTGGTTGAAACATATCAGGGTTGATGGTGTTGAAGTGTGTTTCTATCCTGTGGAATCAGAAACACCAGGAAGGAAGGCAGACTTTTTTTCTTTTCTTTTTTTTCTGTCTCTTTGTGTGACCAGCTTTTCATTCTGATGGATTGTTCCCTGAATCAAATCTTCAGCTCTGCTTCTCCTTTTTGGATTATTTATGATCACACTTTGCCAATTGGAGGACTTTGGTAGTACACCATTTCATTTTTTTTTATTTTTTTCAAAAAAATTCTAAATCTATTTGCATGGTTTTTTTTCTTTAATAATGTTTGTATAACACAACTCATTTGTTTAATGTTTAACTCAACATTTCTGTCACATGTGATTGATTTCTGAGGTATTTTAAATAAACACAAACACACCTATTTTTATCATTTGTCATTGCAATGTTTTTTTTTCCTTTGCCTCAATGTTAAAAGGTGTATTTTTTAAAAATATTTCAGTCATTTACCAGGAGTACATTCCAGTCTAGCCCTACCACAGGACACGTAGATGATATTACAGCAGGAGGAGGTTTATGCTGCATGTGTTTTCTCAAAATAGGCAAAGTGCGTCTGCAGCTGAACATCTTAAAGGGACAGATGGCTTTAACACACTGATAAACCACACACACACACAGTGGTGTGTGTGGTTTATCAGCTGCGACATTTGAAAAAACACAAAAAAAAATCTGAAAATCAGCTGTTAGATTTATACATTTTGAAACTGGTGTCAGTTTGTTGGAGTCTAAACTTAAAGCTGAGCTGGTTTTTATTTTCAGGCTCAATCTCCATGATCTTTTGGTTGTTTTTTTTTCTTCCCCCGACCAACCTTCTCTCTCAAAATCCCATTTTTCTGCAGATTGTGCAGCCGACGGTCACATGGGAACAGAGCCGGTGGCGTACACGTCGTACTGGTTACGTGTCACTCCCTGCAGTAGCGTGTCCTCATCCAGGTTCTGTTAAAGAACACAAATGTACGACATTCTCTGTCCGTGAACACGTCGTAGTACTGCAGTGGTGAGTAACTCTCTCCTGGAGACTGTTTTTATTTGCCGGTCCTGGAGTTGACGGCCAAAGACAGAATCAGCCCCGGCTCTAAATATATCTTCTAGAATTACTGGAATGTAGCACAGAGAGAGAGAGAGAGAGAGGGTGAGAGAGAGGGAGAGAGAGATGGGAGTCGAACTCTAACCAACAAATCCTCCAGAAGGCACTTAAACAGCCCGGCTCCCCTTGGACGTGTCCTTGCAGGAGACTTATCTCCATGGCAGCAGGGCGCCTGGTAAAATGGAGCGCAGCTCCAGATCCTGCGTCCTTGTTACGATCAGATCTTTAAATTCACCGTAGGCGTGTTTTTACTTCTACTTATCATTGTGTGGTTTTTTTTTCAGACTCCTGCTGCGTGTTCGGGCTAAATGTTGTTTTTCCTTTTTTTTTTTTTATTGTGTAACTTCTGATGATCTCCTCTGGGACAAATAAAGTCTTCTCCCTCCTCCTGAACATGTCTGCCTGTTATCTCCACACCCATCGTTTCATTCGTTTTCTGTTTCCTGGACTGAAAGAGGGAGGGGTTTCTCCCGACGTCCCACCTATGACGGTGAATGACAGTTCCTCCGTAATCACAGGGTTCGCCTGTAAACACATGATGTCACTAACTCACTGCCTGACATCATCTGATCAATACTCCCACGTCCAAATGTTGTTGTTTTTTTATATGGGAATCAATGATCAGGGATAAAAAATAAATAAATTCAAAGGTAAACCAGTCTGAGGACCAGGATAACGGCACTAACACACGTGGGTGACAGAGGGCGTCAGAGCCCTGCACAGAACTGGAACAGACTGGATTAATGTAACCTGGACTCTAACCACACATACATCCATATTACATATGTGTAAAATCTGTTGGAATCAAACTCTTTAATTACCATTGACAAAATGGAGAGAGAAAAAAGCACAAAGAACAACTTCCCCAGAAAGGATGTGACATCATCACACCTAAAAACGAATGAATGACAAACTATTTTAACTGTAGTCACAGTGTCGTCATAGTAAAGACTCAGTGCTGTTCCATCCTGAAACCTCAGCCTGTTTAGTTGAAGACGACGCTGATATACTGTCAGGAATTGAAGAAAGACACAAAGATCTTCAACAGCTCTGATTATCTTTTTTTTTTTTTTTTTTAGTTTTCATAGCCCTCTGCTGCCACCTAGCAGAAGAGGATTTAACTGTTCTGCCTTTCAGGCTTTGATGAGCAAAAAAAAAATTCTATGCAATAAATAGATAATTTAAGTTTTAGGCCCAAATAAGTGAAATTGGATAATTTTTCCACGGCACCTAATGATCTCTCACGACACACGGTTGGGAATCACTGCTGAAGAATATCGATGCAGTATCGTGAAACGGAATATCGCAATATATCGATATATATCAGGAAGAAAACTATCCTAGTCTTTAAAAGGTCAAACGTTCGATCTTCTTGGCGTCCATTCCGTCTGGAGCTGACGCTGCTGCACCGTCATCAACACATCTTCAACATCAGTCCAGACCTGTCTCTGACCTGTCCTCAGCCGTCCTGTAGACGAGGACGCTGCTTCACACTGATGACATCCACCCACCCACCCACCGCGTTAGAAAAAAGTGAAGCTCAACTAATACAGGAAGTAGTCGGAGGCCGGCGCTGATGCTCCTCGCCGCGTTACTCAAACCCAGAGATGCTGCTTCTCTAGTGACAGCAGAGCAGGAGGGAAGTTTGCAGCGGGGTCAACTGCTCCGTTATGACACGAACAGGAAGTGGTGAAGCACTACCTGGTAGAACATGAGGCACGGAACTGTTCTCACCATCTCCGGCTGCTCCGAACTCAGACTCATCAGCCTGTGCCATGTACCTGACCTGAACCTGAAGTGAGATTGTCGTCGGCCCGTCGGTCCTGTCTGACCTCTACGTGACACCTCAGACCAGAGATGACACAAAACGGTTCCAGTGCTGCCACTGGAACTAGTACCGGTCCTAGAAAAACGGAGGAAGAGCTCAAAATTGTGATCGTCGGTGATGGAGGATGTGGAAAAACGTCTCTGCTGATGGTTTATGCTAAAGGTGATTTTCCAGAGGTAAGAAACCTGTGAACTTTCACCATGTCATCTAAAACAGCGAGCTGTCAGGGTTTCACTGATTCAGTTAAAGTGAAATAATAACGTGTAGAATGTATAATATATTTTCTCTCTCTGTTCTGTGTCTAAAACAGAAATACGCTCCATCAGTGTTTGAAAAATACGTCACCTCGATCTCTGTGGGAGGAAAACAGATCAAACTCAAGCTGTATGACACCGCTGGTGAGGATTAAAAATACAATCTTTAATGTTGGGTTTTTGGGTTTTATTTTTCTTGGACTGAATAAAAATCCAACTGTGAGGGATGTTTTTTTTACATTCATTTCCATTGTTTTTTTTGGGCTAAATTTACAAAAAGTAGTTTTTTAGAAAAACAGTTGTTGCTATTTTGTGTTGTATTTTTGTTTTTTAACATTATTTATTCGACCTTCCTGAGAGATAAATAACTAGTTAGATATAAATCCACTTCATTTTGGTAATTTTTTTTACCTGTTCATAGCTAAAATTTTAAAGTTATCCACCTTTTTGTTTTTTGGGGAACTCTCAGTTATCGTTTAGTTTTTACGTTGTTTCAGCTCTTTTGTAGTTATTATTAGACCTTAAATATGTGACAGGCTAGCTGTTACTGTGTCGGCTAACGTTCAACTATGTTTGTGGTGTTAAAACAGTTTGAAAAAGTGTTCTCATTTCTGGCTAGGCTAACAGTAGCTATTATGCTGCTGATGTAACTGAAGGTGGACTCTTGCTAGCTATTGCTAGCTTACCGTTAACCAACTTTTGAGCTAACTTGGTTCATTTGATTCAAGTTATAGATATAAACATGTTCAACCATTAGCTGTTACTGCTAATTTTTTTCGCCATTGTTGAACTTTCTTTTTAACCAACATGTAGTTCTCTGATCTCATCTGTAGATTCGTGGTACAGTAGAGGTTAGCATTTAGGCTAAGGCTTAAACACTTTTCTTTTTTTTTCTACCATCATATTTCTTATAAAGTGTAGATAACGAAGTGCTCGTTAACAAGTTTATCTTGTTGTTCTGACGCCGACACACAGAGGATGTGGTGACCAAGTGACAGAAACACCACATCGCTCTAGTCGTGTTTCGGGAACTGACAGACTGATGAAACTCCACCTCCACGTGTCAGACCAGGACTCGACCTCGGATTGGTTAAAGTTGTTAATGAGTCGTTAATGAGTCGTTAATGAGTCGTTAGTGTGGATTAAATGGTTCTTTGAATTCATTCCCTTCAGCGTCTTCTCGGAGCAGTTTAATTTTCTTCTTATTTCCTGTGACACGGTATCTGGTGTCACGACGCTTCCGACTGTCGCAGTAGAACGGAAGCTGAAGCCAGGATGTGGTTTTTAAGTGAAGTCTTTGACAAATGCAGTACTGTGTGGTTTGGCTAACGTTCACACCAACACGCACCAGCACAAACGTTGTTAATTAGTATTTATTTATTTATTTCAACCTGCTGCTTTAAACACACTTATTATCATCCATATTTTGGCTACAGAGAGTTATATTTACGCTGCCATCACTGAAGGATGTATTTGGAATTCTTTAACGAATGAAAATATTAAACATCAACATCTTCAGACTTTCTATCCTAACAGCAACAAAAATGCTTCTTTGACTTGGCTATTTTATTGATTTTTTATTGATCAACACTTCTGCAATATTTAAATAATTTAGACTCTCGTTTAACCTTTTTTTGTTAAATAAATTGCTGTTGTGAACCTTTAGCTCTTTTGTTACATTTCCTTTAACTCATGTTAACTCACTAACTTAATGTTTTAGTTCTTTTCATTTTATTTTGACTCTTAATTTTGGTTACAGCGTGTCTACTGTTTTTTTGTTTTTCTTTTTTAGCCCTTAGCTCTCTCCTGTAGCTAACCTCCTTTTTCATCCTCGGTAAAGCTAGCTAATGTGCTAATCATGTTAGCATACTCTCCTGTACAACAACGTTTGGCTAATGATTAGGAATGTATTTTGTTGGGTTTTTTTTGTCAACATTTTTCTTATTTGTTTCTGTCAGCTTTGCTTCTTAACTGTTCGCTAACTTACAGCTAGTTAGCTACCTTTGACCTAGCGCCTATCTCATCTGTAATTTGACATTAACTTTTATTACCTGTCATATAATGAACACTTTTAAACCACTTTTATGACCTTCAGTTAAATGGGTTGTTTTTCCTACACAGTCCACGTGGGTCACTGCCCTCTGGTTTAAAGGCTGATTGCATATATTTATATACATATATTTATATATTTATTAATCAGATGAAATCCTACTTTTTTCCATCCAGGACAGGAAGACTATGACAGACTGAGACCATTGTCCTACCAGGAAGCCAACCTGGTCCTCATCTGCTTCGATGTGACCAACCCAGTCAGCTTCGAGAACGTCCTGATAAAGGTAACTGTTTTAACAGAACGTCATCAGTTTCAGGATTCTGGGTAAATGATTGCCACACGCTGGTGTGTCAGTGTCAGCGGCTCTCTTTGACCTATGATTAACTCCTACAGTCCTGGACGTTGACCTCATGTCAACAGGAGCCAATGAGAAGCGAGCACTTAATCTGCTCAGTAAATAACAATATAAACAGTCACTGGGTCTGAAACAAACGGTTACTAATCACTAGTTATTCAGTTAAGAAAACTGATATATTTTAGAATACAGTGGTGAATGGTGGTTGTTTTGATACATTTCATTAGCCTAGCTTCTAGCGCTTTCTTGACTTTTTAGTTGGTTTCTCTCATTTTTTAGCTAACTGGGTTGTCGATAGCTGTGTTCGATATAATCGTTAATAACAATAAGCAATTTCTGAACTAAATAAGTCAGGTGTACATTTGCTAGCCTAGCTATTTTATATGCATTTAGAGGCTAACCTTTACCCATTTAATTGTTTATTTTTAGCGTTAATCGTTTTTAGCC